TATGGTTGCCAGATAATACTGCAGCTCCAAGTATCTTCAAAGTCAGGAATTAAGTAGTTGGGGAAGTGTCGTTTCTCCTCACGCATCTCTCTTTAAAGAGAGGAAAGTTTTTTTTCGGCAGTCCCTAGCATATTTCTTCTCTAGCTGCTACATCATGAACAGGATCTCATGTTCTTGATGTAGCAGCTAGAGATGCTGGGAGAGTCTGTTTTGGGCATCAGAAACTTCCAGATCAGGAAATGGGTTTAGCAGGCAAGGAGAAAGGGGATTAGAAGAGGCTTTGAATATGTAAACAGCATCATCTTCATAACACCTGAAAAATGTCTACCACACAGGGCCATGTTTTAAGAAGAGCATTGAAAAACTGCAGTAATCCTGAAAAGAGTGAGCTAAACAGTGAAATATCTAGAACTAAAGTCTTATAAGAGAAAGTTGAAGCCATTGTTGATGTTGAATCTGGAAATCTGGGAAAAGGAGATTGGGAAAATATACTGGTTCTTATAACTCTGAAGACTAGCATGGAGAAGAGGACTTAGGTTTATTATTTGTGACTCATGGGGAAAGAACTAGTACCACTCAGTGGAAGTTATATGGACTTAGATTTTAGTTTAATAAAGAGTTTAACAATGAGAACTTTCCAGAATTAGAATGAACTGACTTTTGATAATAAGCCCCTCCCATCTTCTAAAGTTCCTGAGGTGGGGGGTTAATTCCTCTGTCAAGGATGTGTCTTGGAGATGTGTCTTATAACCAAGATGTGTCTTCTCAGAATTTTGAGGTAAGCAGAGGCCCCTGATGGAAATCATTTGATCATCTTCTAAGGATTTTGTTATCCTCCTTTAAAGAGTGTTATCTTCTGCCTTCCTTTTGTTGGCAGGCAGTTAAGGTATATATAGCTTAGATTGATCCTTGTAAGCCTTGTTTTTAAGCTTGTTCAGGGTGAGTGTATCAGGGTTGGGGAACCCGTGGCCTTCTGATTTCAAGATTGTTATTTTTTAAGTACCACAGGAGGCAAGAAAAGCTTTAACTTTCTCTGCTGCACCCATTTTAATAAGAGAATTTGTTCTGTAAAATTTGAATTTAGTCAAAAGGCCACACCTAAGGACCTAGAAGGCCACATGTGGCCTTAAGGCTGCAGGTTCCCCACCCCAGCGTGGTAAGTACTAGTTTGTCTCTACTACTAAGGTCTGACTCTTCTCAGGTTTCTACCTAATTTCCAGGTGTTTAATGAAGTTTCTCTGTTTTGGTTGGTTGAAAGTCAAATGTCTTTCAACCTAACATGAGCTCTGGGGATTGTTAAGCTTATGGATCCATGGTAGTTCTTTGCCCACACTTATGGAGTCTCTGAGTGCCTGAGCAGTGTTGTATTTAGGAAAAGACAAAAGGGCACACTTGTGTAAGTTCCTAGAACTTTTTAACCTATGTAACTTTAGCCTCTCCAGTTTACTGACCTGCAAATTCTAGCTGGACTCCAGTCCCTGTTTCTTCCACTCATTGTGGCTGCCATGCTCTGCTTGGGTTTCCCCTCCCTGTGTCATGGTCGAGAAACCTCTTCTACACATAATGCTAAGCCAGTTGCAGGGTTTACTTTGTTTTTCTTCTCTTATGGACCAAAGTCTTGTACTGCCTGTTGTCTGATGTCTGAAGACAGTTGTTTCTTACATATTGTCCAGTTTTTTAGTTGCTGTGGTAGGAAGGCAAGTCCAATACCAGTTTATCCATAATGGCTAGAAGCAGAAGTCCTCCCTGTAATAGAGTATTTGATATAATATAGTTAGATTAT